TCTTCCGATTATAGACTTCTATAGCTTGGACATAGACCTCCGATTAGAATGTCATCCCGAAATACTCGCAGAAATCCTTTGTATTTTCTGATTATAGTAATATCTTCGAGCAGGATATACGTAGAAGCATACCGGGTAACTTGAGACCGCTGATGACGAACATTCCAGCATCATCAATGTACAGCGTGAGATCAGGACATGGACATGGACGTAACCGAACAGCTAGTGTTTCGGATTCGCCGCTAGCTACAAGCAGCAACGCCAGTTCGGAAATAAGTGTCAACAACAACGGACTTTGCTTAGAAGTGAGCGAACGAGAAGACGACGTGGCGAGCGAGAGAGGATGCAGGTCGCCTGCAAGCTTACAGGGCAGGTGATATTTTATGTTATGATGTGATATTATATGGTATGATTTCGGACATGGCCTTAGCTTCCGACCATATCTGTATTCTCCTTGTCTGTGTTACTGAACTCTTACCCCATAAGTCTCCATTACCGTGATTTTGGGGGTGACTGATATGGGCCATTAACTGATTGAATTAGGAGCTTAGTACTTAGTAGTAGTATTGACTCTTTTGGTATATTTCCTACATTTTAGATTCACCATTTGGTTAAAATATTTGTGTTTGGTTTCGATCGTATATTATTCCTCGGTTTCCCCTGATACGCTCTTGAATGCGTAACGCCATCTGTATATCATTCCAGCAATCCATTTTCAGTAGTATGATTCATTCTACGAATGCATTTACCATCAAAGGCTCGTCTATGGCGGGTTTTGGGTACGGGACAGATATCTGATTCTAAACTCGAATATTTCGGGTTTCGAGGTTTGAAATCCGTTATGGTATCCAAAAGACGAGCCGTCGAGGGGAAACTGTGGGGACGAGATACTAAGAAAGGTGAGGCGAGGTGAGGCGAAAGACGCATCCAAAAATGAGCTACGAAGGCAACACGAGATTTTGAAGGCGAGACGGGGAACGGATGATACGCAGGTGTCGAGATGAGAAAAGTGAACATTAAAACTCGATATCTGTCGTCGCCGGGCGAATACCCGATCCACGGGCTGAATTACCCGGAAATAGGGCTTTCATTATCAAATTCAATGTCCAAATATCCAAGAAGGCACTCGAAAAATAAAAATGTATATAATTAACAATCATAACATACATAAAAACGACCTCTCAAAAGTTTAACCACGAGATCAAATCAATGGCACATGATAGGAAGAAGACAAACAAATGAAAAAAAAAAACACGACATTGTAGAGAAATGCAAGAAACAAGAAGAAAGCCCATTAAGCAGCAACAATGGCCTCAATAGACTTGAGTTCTGGGACATTCTTGGCAGTTGCAGAAGCCTCTGGTGCTGGTTGTGAGGTCAATCTCAAGTGTGGAGGAGGATTCTGCTTCAGTTTCACAACTATTTGTCTCATTCTTGCAAGATCTGTCGGCTTACCAGGCTTTGGACCTTGGATCACAGCAATGGAGGCCTTCTTCTCTTGATCTTTCTTCCCTCTCCTCTTCTCTATCTGGGCTACCTCCTTTGGAATGAGCTCGGCTATCGCCTTCCAGTAGTTCTTGTCTGCCTCTGCGTAAAACTTCTCTTGACTCGCCAAAAGGTGCTGATGCATAAAAGAGGTGAGTCACGAGCAGTCAAAAGGCAACATGAAAAGAAATCTGATGTTAGTAATATGAAAGCTTGATGGGATTCTGCCAAAGTTTTTCGTTGGGTCGGGTGTCTTGGACAATGCATTCCTTTCATCACGTTTCCATAATACTATTCAGAAAGCCAAGAAACATACAATAATGAAAAGGGTAACCATTCATATATCGAAGAGGGGATTTCTCCTACACGGTATGGACAAGTTACGCAGATTAAACCGTTTACATTATCCATACCATCCCTCTCTAAGAAACCAAAGACATTTTGAATATTCATGTTTCTTTCCACGGAAAGCTAAGATAAATCCACAATTCCAATTGACTAACAATAATAAAGTTTCATTAGCAATAACTAAAACGGGCTGCGTTAAACAAGCCATGACAATGGTGCAGGTTGAGAATAAATGGTCAATCTAACAAAAACTTTAAATGGCTTCAAAGGGCAATTGTAAGAAACTATGGCATGCATATATATGAATAAGATAGACAATTGTGTACAGGAAATGAAGAGTTAATAGCCAAAAGGATGCACCTTTTCCTTCTCTCTGTTGTCGGCTTTGTTGTTTTCACAGGTAACTTCTCTCTTCTTATAGAACTCGGCCTTGTATTGATTCGCTTCTTCAATGATTTGGCTCAACATTTCCTTTTCCCTCTTCTCTTTCTCCTCGAGTTTAGTGGCATTTTGTCTACACACGAAAACGCCAATGCACGACTTCAGTGTGGAACTCCGAGCAGTACGATCGGATATAAACACTCAGATTCACAACAAACTTAAAAGCTAAGATCAAACGATAAATTTTCCATGAAAATGTACGATATCTACAAGCAAAACCCAGATGGGTTTAGCCCAGCTGCAAAGATCTATTCAGAAACCCTAAATCCGGAATCAGCATAACCCTCATAGCAGACCAGATCAAGCAGAAAACTTACTTGTTAAAGAAACTATCCTAGACAATGAGTGAAGATGGATTCGCCTAAACCAACACCAAATAACGTCAACGAACAGAATTATGCAACAAATCGTAATCGAAATGTCTCCCGCGCAACCACATCGGGGATTCTCCAGCAAAAAACAAGCAGAGGGCACGAGAATCCCATAGAAATCACACAATTTCCACAGGAAACAAGTACAGTTAAAGGTACAACGAGATCAGATTGCAGTAGATCTAACCTTCTCCATTCCCTGATAGCGAATCCCTCTTCCGACTCCATCTCCGAGGGCGGTGGCAGAACAGGACCGTCGGATCCGCCGTTGGATCCAAAGAATCCGTCACCGTTCGAGTACCCACCATAGTCTGGAGACGGCGCCGTAAAAACATCATCGGCCGAGCTCTGCACTGGTACGGAGCTGTCGTCGTAGCCCGAGAAGAAGCTTTCGGTGGCGTCGAAGGAACTGATCACTGGGGCGGACTCGGACGAGTCATCTCCGAGTATGACGAAGGAATCATCAGAAGCAGACATCTCTCTCCACTGACTAAAGACAAGGGAATCTGCTCTCTCTCTCTCTCCCCAAACGTTTTCCCTCCCTCAACGAGAATGTGAATGATTCGTATTTATGGGCTTCTAACTAATAGGCCTTCTCTGATGGGCTTAGACGGCCCAAAACGTTGGTTCTGGATTTGTTAGCACGCAAATATTCATCTCGAATTTTGTAATTTTAATATTTGTAAAACTATTCGACTATTGAATCGGATTAAATCGATCTTTGGTCCGCCTTATTCTTTGGATATAAAACATGTTTTTTTTGTTTGATAAATTTTTTTTTTGGTTTGAGGATATAAAACATGTTCCATGGATCTCTTAATACCTTTGCCATGAGGCCTGAAGTTGGGACATCAAAGTAGATTTTTTTTTTCCCTTTTGATTATTCAGTTGAATTGTCTATTTTTTTACATAAAATATTAAAAATATAGTAATGTAACTTATTATTTATATAAAAAATTTCTAATGGGCACATAAATATCCACGTCCCCTCTAATTATAGCTAATATAACAATTATGTTTTAGTTTAGGTAATATGCTTTTTTTTTGTATATAATATATATAGAAAATACCGAATGTTACAGAAGGAATAACCCGATGGGATGAAGACGATGGAATGGATTATAAATTTTATTACGTTACTGTTTGTATTTATTATATATTTACTATATTATGTTTAAAAAAAACCATAACACTATAAATAATCTAAATTTATTTTAATATGATAATTAATTTTACTAAAAAAAACATTTATTAGTAAAATTAAACAAAAAAAACCATAACACTATAAATAATTTAATTTATTCTAATTTGATAATTAATTTTACTAATAAATGATTTAGACTTTCAAGTATTAGAATTTGAATTCTACATTTAACCTTTTGTGTGTAGATAAAAATTAATTGGTACATCAAAATAATAAAAATTTATATTAAAAGTCTCACCTATTCAAATTTATTAATTAAAATTTTCAATAATTTGAATATTTACTGATAAATAATGTAGATTCTTATAGTTTTTTAACATGTTTAAAATTCAAGTTCTATATTTCAAATTTTTGGAGATATTTAATTTTATTACTAAAAATAGATAAATATATTTAAAATAACAAATATAAATAATCTCTATATTTTAATTTTCTAATTAAATTCATCAATAATTTGATTCTCATGTTTTTCTAACAAGACAAAAACAATAATTTTATAAAGTAAACTTAGATAAATATGTTACAAAAATCATAAATAGTCTCATATATTCTAATTTGTTAATTACCTTTATTAATAATTTGATATTTATGGATAAATGATTGAGATTCATTCTAATAAGCTAATTAGTTTCATCAATAAATAATTTAGATTCTAATATTTTTAACATAATATAATCAAATTCTATACTAAATTAATTAAATTATTTCACACGTCAAAATAATAAAATGAGAACTTTATGTATAACATTTATGCTAAAAATAATAACTATAAATAATCTCATTCCAATTTGTTAATTATCTTTATCAATAAATAATTTAGATTCTCATATTTTAACCTATTAAAATTTATATTCTATATTTAACAATTTGTATATAAATTAAAATTAGTTATTTAGTTGGATGCATAAAAAGATAGCTTTAGCAATAAAACTTAGATAAGTATGTTAAAAATAACAATCATAGATAGTCTCATCTATTTAGTATGTTAAAAATTATTTAGATTCAGATATTTTCTTTATATATTCGAATTCAAAATTTATATTTAACAAATTTACAGGTAGATTAAATTAAACTAATTAGTAAATCAAAATAGCAAAAAATTAATTTTATAAAAACATAGATATATATATTAAAATTAACGATCATAAATTGCCTCATATATTCTAATTTACTAATTGTTTTCATTAATAGTTTGATATTTTTTAATATTTAAATGTTCATATCTTTTTTAAAAAAATTTAGAATTCAAATTTTATATCTTAAACTTTGTTGGTAAATTATAACTATTTCGTACACCAAAATAAAACAAATAAATTTATTAGTAGAACTTAGATAAATATATTAAAAATAACAACTACAAACAATCTCATATTTTCTAATTTTCTAATTAATGTCATTAATAGAAGATTTAGATTCTCATGTTTTTAATATATTAGAATTCAAATTCTATATTTAACGATTTATATGTAAACTAATATTAATGTATTCCTCAATATGACAAAAGATAACTCTATCAATAAAACTTAGTTAATATATTAAACTAAATATAACCAACATAAATAGTGCAATGTATTATAATTTGCTAAATTCGATATTTATTGATAAATAGTTTGAATTTCCATATTTTTTAACATATTTAAAATTCAAATTCTATATTTCATACTTTTTAGGTAGATCAAAAAAAAAATTATTTAATTTATACTAAAATTAACAACTATAAATAGTTTCACATATTCTAATTTTAATTTGTTGATTAATTTTATCAATAAATGATTTAGGCTTTCATAGCTTTTTTTTAACATATTTAGAATCTAAATTCTATATTTGATAATTAGTGAGTAGATTGAAGATAAAATTTCAAATAAATTCAAGAATGTGCTAAAATAATACGTCAATTTATAAATTTCTCTCAATTTTCTTTTTGGGAGATTCTGTAAACGCACGGTTTTATTTATATCCCAGTCTTTTTAGGAGAATGTTGCTTGTGCAAAAAGGCACCTTTTCGGGGCACATGAGAAAACACATAGATAATGTTGCTTGTACGGCAAGGAACCTTCGCAATTGAAAAAAAAAACAATTCTTTGATGCATTGAAACTGTTGAGGGAAAGATCCTCTTCTCAACTGTACGGAAGTTGATTATTTAACAGCCAAAAAATAAAAATAAAAAACAGAGCAACGACCGCTGCAGGATTCCGAGTGTCCAATTTTTTTTTTAAAAAAAAGAAACCCTAAGTCGAAGTATTGGTCGTCGTCTTATTCACAAAAGCAGACTCGGCCAAGTCAATGGCACGGGCCAGACCAGCGGCTTTGTTCTGACACTCACGGTGCTCGTCGTCCGGTTGGCTGTCGGCCACCACGCCTGCTCCTGCTTGCAGGTGGGCTATCCACTCGTGCCGTCTCATGTTCTTGTCCTTGTACGAGTACATCGTGTCGTAACGAGTTTCGGTCGGGAAGACAATGGTCCGAAGGGCCAAGGCTATGTCCATGTCTCCCGCGAATGATATCCCTCCGAATCCGCCGCTGTACGGTCCTCGTCTCGTCACTTCCAGTTCATCTATTAGCTCCATGGCTTTTACCTGTGTGCGTGAAATAGAGATTCATCTCAAGATTGGGATTGTGAAAGAAGAGACGTGCAAAAAAAAGATTGTACTAAAAACAATTGCCTTTGGAGCTCCGCTAACGGTTCCGACAGGTAAAGCGGCACGTAGAACGTCCCAGCAGGTGAGATCTTCTCGTAACTCTCCGGTGACCTGTTCGGAAACATGAACGTCGTTTTATGAAAATAATTACTTTCGGGTTTATAAAATTTCTGATCTTGCATTTGATTGAATCTTCAGAACACAAATACGCGAGAAAGTTTAAGATGGCGATGAATTGAGATAATAGCCAAAGCTGAAAGAGAAGTTCGGGCTTACAGTTGAGCTTATATGCATGACATGGGAATAACGCTCCACATTCATGAGTTTCTCGACCTTCACGGAACCATCCTTCGACACCTGCATTGGCCGAAACAGAGAGGCAATGGGGATCTTTTTCTCATTAGGGGGAGATGGATTACTTATCCGAAATCGGTAAATCTGACAGATTCTATGGACAGGTTTTAGGATTCAGAATTTTTTTTCACTGCAAGACACGGATTAACTTCAACGAACCAATCTGATATGGTCAGCCAAAGATTTACCAGATTTGATCTTTAACGCTATAGCACAAGTAGAAACCGTGTGTTGTTATATGCATAAAAGAGAGGATGCTATCCCGAGCCTGACCTTTCCAACGTCATTACGACCCAAGTCAACAAGCATAATGTGTTCGGCGCATTGCTTTTCATCTTTTAACAGCAATTTTTCCAACATCTGATCCTCTTCAAAAGTCTTGCCTCGCCTCACAGTTCCTGCTAATGGCCGGTTCACGACCTTATTCTGTATTATTGTTACAAAATCAAAAGTGTTATTTCGGTGTATACACTGATGTAAAAAGAAATTCAAGAGAGAAGCTGCTTACCTTCTTCACTCTTGTGAGGATTTCAGGACTTGACGCAACAAGAATACAACCTCTTGCCTGGAAGAGGAAGGAGAATATATTTATCGGTAAAACAGAGTGAAAACAAAAGAAATTATGATTATCTGAAGAGCAATCACTTACTTGCAAGTAACCCATATAGGGACTCGGGTTCACAACCCTCAAAGCTCGATAAACTTCAAACGGGTCAGCGAAAGTACGACGCTCAAACCTCTGACTTAGCACGATCTGGAAGATATCTCCTGCCGAGATGTGCTCTTTTGCCTGCAGTACGGCATTCTTGTATGCGTCACTTGTCATGCTTGATTTCTTCAAAGGAGGGCCAAATTGGCGAGTGCGTAGTTCCACTGAACCAGCCGGTAGCTTTGGTCTGAAACATTTAGTTGGTCAAGTCACATAAGGATAACTGATCAAAGCTTCACACGGGCTAATAAATAAACTAACCGCAAATAGGAACACATGCTAACAATTTACTCACGGGTCTACGTCTTGTAATCTCGATACCAACTCGTCCAAGTGTGCAACTCCATCGGCGTAAACATCTTCAAAGGAGGAGTTTTCAGATACCCTCACCCAGTGAATTACATGCACTTTCTGTAAATAGTAAACATAATCCCATTTGAGGTTATCTGAATGAGAAAACTTGGACCCGGATGAAGATTCAGGTAAATCAGATTGAAGATCAAGACATTTAATACCTTTTCAACGTGATCGAAGACGATCACATCATCATAAAGGCTAAGATGCATGTCGGGCAGACTCCGGTCATCCAACGGGGCCTTAGAGAAAGGTAGCTTTCGTTTTTCCATGTAACGCACAGTGTCATATGAGAAATAACCAACCCAACCACCTGCGGCAACATTTTACCTGTAATTAACTTCTCCGACACGACTTCTTCACTAACAAATTATACAGGTATCTCAGCTCATGCCAGTTAGTACACCCGTTAGATCTTTAATACTCAAATGCATGCAATAAGATAAATTGTCATCGTTCATCAGCTTGAGCCTTCTGTGCCAAGCAATCACTGTTTTGGAGTTTGAAATCTTCAAAAGCTTATATAACTAAGTGCAATTGCGATCTCAGTCATGAACCACTTCCCTAACAAAGGGAGGTGTTTAACTTAACTAAATGAATCCGGCAAGTTTAAGTTTTTTAACTTTATGTTGACCAGACAAGTGAATGTATGTTTCTTTTCAGGAAAAAAAAAAGGCTCTCACCACAAAAGGCGTCCGGAAGTTCATCGATCAGTTGCGGTTTCCAAGTCTCAGAGATCCTTCTGGGAATTTCCATTGGATCTTCAACCTCCTCCTTGGTCAAAGTCCCTCTTACATGGTCCATAACGGTAACAGTTTTCTCCTTTGCCACGATTTCCATAGTAGGTTGCGCCCCAACCACACTATATCGACCCTAATACATTCATTCCAAGACAGTATAACCATTAGTTTTACTCTAAAACTGTATCTAACGAAAAGGCAGACCGCCAAAAGATTTCTTACGACAGTCGAAGACAGGCTTCCTGGCTCCACTGACTCGAAAAGGAAGCTCGGGGCCTCCCGGTCATCTTCCTTAACCAAACACCGGTAAGCAAGAACAGGAGTGAGATGATCAGAGAAAATGGTGTGACAGAGCGGAACAAGGTTCTCGTTCTTAGATGGTTCGACAAACTTCATCCCGCCTTTCGCTGTAAAAAAAAAAGAAGAAAAATTCCAAACACGAAACAGTGGACTCCTCAAAATTTGAATTTGAAACCTGTCTACTTCCAAACAGAAAGCTGCACAAGATTGCTACATTGAGATTATTTACCACAGGTTATGTATTCAACTAACTGGATTGCGATACAGGAAATCTATTGGCCTGTTCAAATGCACACAAGATTCAATAATTTACTTCATATTTTGACCACCCTTTGGCCTACTCTATGCAACTGGCAAATTGATTTTGACGGAGAATCCCCAGAATTTTAATACTAACCTTATCCTTAAGTCAGGATCCCACCACCCCGAAAGAAAAATATCACTAAATCACGGTTTGGCTGCCGAGAAATCCAAGGAACCAGAAAACCAAATGATCCGCCATTTCTCGTTAAACAACATCGTCAATTCCTAACTAGATGCATCTAAGCGAACTCATTCTCAATCAATTCAATGAGCTCAATCTCTAATAACTTTGCCTCGTTCTACGAGCAGCACCACAACCGACGGTAGAAAATCCAATAAAACAAATGGAAAAAAGAAATCGAGCAGGGATGAGTTCAATCTCTTCACCTGTAGAAGAACAAGGCGAGAGAGAGACGCATTTGATGGGACGGATGCAAGAGAGGGAACTGGAGGACCTCCGGAAGGAAATGCCGGAGACCGACGCCGGAAAGAGGCGGCGGTTGGACGGCGGAAGGCGGCGACAGACGCCTAAGGACTGCGTCAACTCAAGAGATTTCATGGAGAAAGATTCCGATCAATGTTCGCCGGGAGAAACGGAGAGATTCCGGTCAAAGTTCGCCGGGGAATCGAAGTGTCTGTGTGGGAGTGGAGAGAAATACGTATATAAAGGGCGCGGCTGACACTGTGTAATGCGGACGAATTTATTAAATTCCGAAAATACCCCTTTGTTCCTATCCATAATTTTTTACCTTTTCTTTTCTTTATACATGATTTTTACCTTTTTTGGCTTAGATAGTTATTTGTATACATCTGTCCACATACTTTTTTTGGATATTTATGAGTTAGAGATATGGAGAGTGCATATTTATTATTTAAATATCATTGAGATGATAGATATTTATGCACCAATTCAATTGTTATAATAAGAATTAGCACAAAAATGGTATTGAGACATCGTTGGATATACAACCTTTTAAATATAAAAAAATATCAAAGAATATTCCTAATAAAAAATATAAGGAAAAAAATAAAAAGAATATTTCAACTATTTTATTTATTCAAAAAAAATTCTACACGTCATCCTTTATACATTAATTATATACTAAATTTTCAATATAAATTATACAATTTATGCACTAATAAAAAATTAGGTTATAAAATTTTGAACACCTCAAATAGAAATAAATCATGATACTATTAAACCTTAATAGTTACAATTATCAATTCGATCAATAAAACTACTAAAATTTTATATTCTAAAACTCTAATTTTCTAAATATTTAATCAAAAGTCGTCTATCTATTCAGTCTCCGATATTCTATCCCACAAATTTATACATAAAATAAAAAACATAACTAATCAATTTTTTTAAAAAAAATTGTGATATATTTTATTATTCTCAAGAATATACTTTTGGAAAAAAAAATATATATATATAAAAACAATTCATTTACCAAAATTCATTCTATTTTAAAAACCATAGGGTAGAATCTGATCAAAGTACTGTTTTGGTTTGGAATTTTTTTCGAGTTTTTAGTGTTCATATGAAGCGGTAAGTGGATTGGTGACAGAGAATGTGTTTGGTCTTAAGAGAAAGCTCGAGAAAACGTCGAACAGAGGAGAGGAGAGGAGTTGGTTAATTTTGAGTTATTTTTATATTCTTAAATATATGCTTTGAATTATTTGTATATTCAATCAATTTAATTTAAAAATTATATTTAGTTAATTTTAAATTAAATTTAATTTAAATGTAACAGATATTATTTGATTAGGAATTTTATAGCGTATAATACATCCAAACAAATGGTCATTTCATTTTTCCATTTCTAAATTTTAGCTCATCCATAGTTTTTCAAAAATCCAAAAGGATAATAGATTGGGCTTTAAGCCCAATAAGAGTTTAAAAAGCCCAATAAAGATCCAACAAATATCAGCCGTTGGATCGTAGATCAACCCCACAAAAACCCTAGCATTTCGTATTTCTTCTCTTCCTCCTATATATATATTTATCGCTAGTCGTCAACTGTTTCCTCTTATCAGCCTCCTCAGTTTTTAGGGTTTTTTCTCCTTCTCCTTTCATCGAAACCATTTGCAAGAGGTTAAAGAGACGGCTAGTGATCGCTGTCCGCCTTGTACGAGCTTCTAGCTTTGTCTTGGCCCTTAGTTTTTGTACCAAATCCCTCAGTTTTAGTATCTTTGTCGATTTGTTTGAGTAGCGATAATGGTGAAACCCACTAAGGCTGAAAAGAAGATCGCCTACGACGCGAAGCTGTGTCAACTCCTGGATGAGTACACCCAGATCCTGATTGTGGCGGCGGACAACGTCGGATCGAACCAGCTACAGAGCATTCGGAAGGGTTTGCGAGGTGACTCTATCGTTCTTATGGGTAAGAACACAATGATGAAGAGATCCATCAGGATGCATGCCGAGAAAACCGGCAACAATGCTTACCTCAACCTTATCCCCCTCCTCCAGGTATTCTCTCTCTCTCGTTTTCTATGTCATTTCGTTCCGTTATATTTTCTTCGAAGAAATTTTGTTGATGCATGATTATTCCCGATTGTGATTAGGGTTTTTATTGATGTTTTGAACAGGGCAATGTCGGGTTGATCTTCACCAAGGGTGATCTGAAGGAAGTGAGCGAGGAGGTTGCCAAGTACAAGGTTTGTTTGTCGAATTTTTCGCTCTGTTCCGCCATTTCTTCAATCAGTCTTAGTCTACCATAAATGTTTGTGCGTTGTGTATTGATTGTTTTGCTTGAAATTATTGTGAACATCTGTCACTCAATGCTTGTAGCAAAGTAAATCTAGATTCAAAATCAAAGTGCAATGCTTTGTTCTAATTTCCAAACTGAAGCTATTCCAGTGTAGCTTGATTTTGTTTTGGCTGAACTCAATCTGAACTCATGACGATGACACTTTGGTAACTGTCTGTATCTATCTCCTTGTTGTTCCCTTTGCACTGTTAGTTAAACCTTTACTTGGTGGCTGGTCTTGTATTATATTTTGTAGTGTTTATTGAACTGAAGTCTTTGGTGTCTTCATTATAACAGGTTGGAGCTCCCGCTCGTGTGGGTTTGGTCGCTCCAATTGATGTGGTTGTTCCTCCTGGCAACACCGGTCTCGACCCATCACAGACATCTTTCTTCCAGGTCTATATCTCCTTTAACACTTTGTTCAGCTATAAATCAATCCATAAATAAATCTGACCTCCTTTTCTTGTCTGTCACAGGTTCTTAACATTCCCACAAAGATTAACAAGGGTACTGTCGAAATTATCACCCCTGTGGAGCTCATCAAGAAGGGTGAAAAGGTCGGGTCCTCTGAGGCTGCCCTTTTGGCCAAGCTTGGCATCCGACCCTTCTCGTACGGTCTCATTGTTGAGTCAGTGTACGACAATGGCTCCGTCTTCAGCCCCGAGGTGCTCGACCTCACAGAGGATGACCTTATGGAAAAGTTTGCTGCTGGTGTCTCCATGGTCACTGCTCTGGCTCTAGCCGTGTCTTACCCGACCCTTGCTGCTGCCCCTCACATGTTCATCAATGCTTACAAGAACGTGCTGTCTGTTGCCTTAGCCACTGAATACTCCTTCCCTCAGGCAGAGAAAGTGAAGGAATTCCTCAAGGTTTGAATGGCATTGATGGATCGACCTGAACAGTTTTGTTTGTTGGTTTTATCTCTCGTTATAATGATATTGACATTTCTAAAACCGATGCAGGATCCGAGCAAGTTTGCGGTGGCAGCTGCACCGGTTGCAGGAAATGCAGGTGGTGCTGCTCCAGCTGCTGCAGCCAAGGAAGAGGAGAAGAAGGAAGAGCCAGCTGAAGAGTCGGATGACGACATGGGTTTCAGCCTCTTCGACTAAATTAAACTTTAAGCATTTAGGGTTTTGTTTTGTTTTGTTTGTTTCCTCTGAAGTGAGATACACTTGGACCTTCAGTTTGTTTTCTTGCTTGTTTCCAATGACATTCCCGTTTCAGTGTCAAGAGTTTTAGCAGTTATTTATATATCTTGCATTATATAAAAGAGTCGTTTGCTAGTGACCAACTGAGTTGATTTCTTGGTGGGTTGCGTTCTAAGTTACAAGTCTTCTACTCGTGCCAAATTGTGTGATATGTGATGTCCTGTTCCTTTGTTGAATCACTTAAGGTATTTATTCGTAGTTCATTTGGGTGGATGAAACATAAATGGCGCGAACATGTGTAATATTGGAATATTCTTTTGGATTAGATTAATGAATGTATTATGACTTGCACGAGTAAAGAGCATTTTATGAGATCGTGGACGGATTTAGAAGCGACGAAGGCGAGGGATGATAACACAGCAAACTGGAAAAAGAGGGCTGGATTTTGCATATACGATACAAGAGTCCCATGAAGAAGATCGTCATCATCATCTCTATTCATTACACTACAACGATTTCACCGGTACAGCGTTGAACTACAAATTTGTCGGCTGCAAGAACAAATCAGCTTCCCATCTCTAATCAACTCCACCCATCTCTCTCTCTCTCTCTCTCTCTCTCTCTCTCTCTGGGAAGATAAACCATAATTTTCTCTAGATTTGGCAAAAAGGGTACCCGTGCACCACTTCCCACATTCAACTAAACCGGGCATTGGCTTAGAGATTGTTTCACTCCGAGAACCCCCGTTAAAAGAATTGGGAGTGATTCACATTAACCTGACGAGGAGGAGGAGAGAGTGTCACCAGAACCAAAGGCTACGGCTATCAACTGCCTTCATGGAAGAGTACACTAACGGCATTCTCCCGTACTCTGCCACAAACCTGTTCACACATCGCGTTCTCTTCTCCGTATGCCCTCCTATGCTGCTTATTCCTGTCGACCCTATCTCATATATCTTACCTGTACATCTCAAATATCATGCCAAATGGTCTTAGGTATCAGAGAGTTATAAATCTTTGATTGTCAAAAGGCTTTTTTACCTCTTTACGAGTATACTGATATATCCTAGTAAGCAAAATCAAGAAAGAAGGCATTTTTTTTGTGTGTGTATGCATTCGCAGCTTGAAATTTTACCTTTAACCCATATGGGAGGAGCATTTGTAGCATTTGCGACGAGGAATGACATCGCAATGTCTTCACAGTTCCTAATGGGGTCATTTCAGGATTAGTAAACCCCAAAAACATGGCAGAACAATAAAGGGCGATGAACAAACCTATTCTTGGTTATGAATTCCCTGATTGATGCTGACATTTCATTCGTGTAAAGATTGAGGTACTTCTTGTGGAAGAAGGCTGCCTTTGAAAGTACCATGCTATATGTACCAGTCCACCAAACAGACCACCACCCGCTGTACGTGTAGTAGTCCCCTTTGTCATTCTGCATGAAAAAAAGGTCGAGAACAACTGATTATCATTGGCAGAAATGAATTTCCAATCCCATATGTAATGAATTTTCTGCAATGAGAAACAATGGTAGAGAACTGAATTTCAAATAGCAAGCATGATACTATTCTCTAGCCATCAGAAGATACGGATTGACTGATCTGCTAAGTCCATCAGGACAGGAAGACATGATTTGATTTAGATCAATCTATAAAGTCCTAAGAGTAAAACCACTAACAGGATGCATTTGTTCAGCTCTTTCAATACAGATTTGTCATTAGACAGAGAGGCTAAAAACGCAAGATTCATCAAATAAATTAAGAAGAGATTCATCAAATAAATTAAGAAACTGACATACCGATTTTTCAGGCCAATGAACACGAGGCACAAAACCCACCATTGAATCTGGAGCACTCTCCCAGACGTTATAAGCAAAATCTACCGTGGAGCATGAAAATATGACATCATCGTCAATCGAGAAGACAGCCTCCGTCTTCAAGTCTTTAATTTCTTTAAATCTGTTGTTCAAACTGTCTTCTTTGTTAATATCAAATCTCAACTCAACTTCCTTCCCATCTTGGGATTTCGTTTTTACGATGTGTTTGAGGTACTTTTTGAGAGTATCAGATGGAGGGTTAGGTTCACTCCACACAATGTGGACAGAATCGAGCCTGGAACATGATGCATAATGGGAAAGAGACTTCTTCAAGAGATCATATCTCTTCCATGTGTTCATTAGAAGCGTGTAACCTTTCCTGCAAGTTATAAATGGGATACATCATCTTATAGAATAAAGAACAAAAGGTTGATGGAGGAGCTAGAATTTTATCCACAGTCCACTCCATCAAATAATCTCGGCAATGTGCCGAAACAACAGCAAGTAATTCAGTTTAGAAAGCATAGCGTATCGACATATGCAACTTGGCTACATAATCAATATCGCAACATTCTAACAGCGTATCCATAACCATCAAAACGAACTGAATGAGTTAAATGATGCAACTATCAGGACCTGGAAAAGACAATTTCGAAAAGAATAGGGAACCCTTTAACTGAAGACTCACAACAACAAATAATCCAGCAAATTAACCAAGCATCGTTCTGAAATACTAGCATATGCTGTTGCGTGTTTCATTCAATGCCTATGAGGATGAGCGCAAGATTACTGAGTCACAATTTCTCCAAAAGGAACCGAAAAAAATACATTCCTTCTCTTAGTTAAATGCGGATTGTGGAACAGAAGAAAATCGTATACAGTATTCAAACATTCATTGACGAGAACATTCAAACCGGAAACACAATCACTCAACTTGGAAACTATCAATTTACTCAATTTCTTTAATCAGAAACCCATTATTTCCCGCTCAGACGTCGTATTGAAGACTGGGAATCTCAATTCTGTATAATCGCTCAAGCCAGTGTATGATATTTTTTTCTCGCACATACTTTCCTAGCCTGAAACTATCCGCGAAGATAATGAACTATGGGATCTGAAAAAGGTAAGACACACAAATCTCGGTGGATTTTACACTCAGAACCTACTTTCCATAATTTGCCACCATCCAAATCGGTGCCTAATCTAATAAATAAATTTCCATCAACAACAGAGTTACCATAAACGGATCGAGATCAGACAACAGATCCTTAAGTAATCATCGAAAAAAACCCAAAACCTTCCTAAAACTTTGTGGACAAGACAACAAAAAATGAAGACACAGCGAATAAATTGTACAGACCGTGATCTGGCGAGGCGATCTATGGCGGAGGCGGCGGAGCGGTTGGTGAAACCGATGAACGAAGGCGGCGAGGATCGGAAAGCGAGCGTGATCAGAGCGAGAGCGATGCAACAATATAGAAGAAACCTAGTGTTCCTCGCCACAGCAAGCTGCCTGAGCCTCTGCTCGCAACGCCGGTAGGCTAATGAGCAACCTCCCATCACCTTACACACATCTCCTCCTCCCATCTAACTCCGATTTATGGTAAACAAGAGAGAGAGCGAGATAAAAAACAATAGAGAAGAAGAGAAGACTCGGTCAGGTTCGTCCGTGTCAGAAACGAGTCGACTCGGTCTACACTCGTGCAGATCGTTCTCTTTCCTCCTCGTCCTCCGCTGTGCGAGACATCGGAGATTAGAGACGAAGGGTGTTATATGGTGCGGTGAGGCGTATGGAAAGAGAAAACGAAATGACACGTGTAACGATCATAGGCGTCCACCTAGCTTTCCACTACGATCTCAGCTTTTCTGGATCGTCCATTGGCAATTCTTTGTGATTGGTGCGTGGTGGGGCCCTGTGAGAGAGAATTGTTTCTGAAGATATTTTGCTCTGGTCATCTGTGCCTCACTTTAAACTTTAAAGTCATAATCTTTGTATATTTACCATTATTTTTTTAATAATCGCAATGCCAAGACCGCGAATATATAAATACATTATTGTTGTGAGGTAGTTAGCAACCTAATATTTTAATTAGACTAATCAAGTTGACCTTGCCAAATTGCTATTACATGGCAAAGTTTGGAATTTTGTTATTGATATAAATGGTGGACCGACCATATATATATATATTTAATATGCATGGAAAAATTTGAGATTTTGAGGTTGAATTTCCGCAAGTTCCAAAATTTGAACTGGGATTACAAAATTATCAAAATGATTCAAAATTGAAATTGACATGCTTATATTATTACATGGATCTTGTAATAAATAAATAAATAAATCCATTTTTTTACCATCAAACTTCACTAATTCACGTGACAACTAAGAAACCACGGTTATATTTCTCCCAAATCACTTTTAATAAACTAATCAAATATTTATAAAAAATCACTAAATTAAATTGGATATTGGGCTTGAAGAAATTTATTATATGGGCCTAAAGCCCATTAATCGGCTCAACCTGTCTCTTCAGTCCTGGACTATCTGCTTCCCCCGGGAAACCCTAACGCCTCAACGTCTCGCGCCTTCGTCCTTCTCGCGATTCCCAGAAGGTTGACAATGGCCGTGTCGAGCGAGCACACCGTGTTGCAGTTCGCGGCTCCGTCTGGGGTTGCGGAATCGGCGGCGGCGGTGCTATCGGCGAGGGTTCACCCGCTTGTGATCTTTAACATCTGCGACTGCTTCGTGAGACGTCCTGACCAAGCCGAGCGCGTCATCGGCACTCTCCTCGGATCTGTCCTACCCGACGGAACCGTCGATATCCGCAATTCTTACGCCGTACCTCACAACGAATCTACCGAGCAGGTCCGTTTTCTTTTTGATTTTGTGTCTTTCATATTGCGGTTACGACTCGTTTGTGCTTCCTCTGATGCATTGAACTGTTAGTCTTTTTGAAAAATGGAATTTCCCTGGTTTACTCTCGGATTGCTTTTTGGTATCTGAAGAGCAATGGATAAGGATTTGGTTTATGTGCATTTTCGCTCTAGGTTTTGTTCCTAATTCAAGCATTTCATTGGTCGGAGGGTGTCACTACGATAGCTGAAATATCTCTAGGGATGATTACACGATCATTTTTTGGATACAAAATGATTTAAGAGAAATGCCAGTTCCTTGTGTGTTGTTTGTGGGTTATGTGTGGAAGAACTGCCAATAAATCCATCCAATTTTCATGGATTTTTCATGGCTAAGCGTTACTTTTTTTTGCCATGGATGCAGGTTGCTTTGGATATCGATTACCATCACAACATGTTAGCATCTCACCTAAAGGTGAACCCGAAGGAAGTTATTGTTGGCTGGTACTTCTCATTTTCACTCTTATTCCGCTAAAAGCGTCTTACAGGTTTTCCATTTCATTCTCCACAGAAAGTTTTTGTCCATTATGCTTGGTGTAGAATTCTTGTGTTTAGCTGGAGGTCTTTGTATTTTAGAATTTCTTTCTTCATGCTCCATGTTATATTGTTTATGCCATTTTGAGAAATTCTACCGGCTATTCTTGATATGCAATCGCGTGTCAAAATAATTGATAAAATATCTATATTGATCTGCAGGTATTCTACTGGCGTTGGGGTCACTGGTGGTAGTGCACTGATCCATGATTTCTATTCTAGAGAGGTTCCCAACCCTATTCACCTCACTGTGGACACAGGGTTCTCCAATGGGGAGGGTACCATTAAGGCTTACGTTTCAGTAAATCTTTCACTTGGCGACCAGCAACTTGCTGCACAATTTCAAGAGATTCCTCTTGATCTCCGTATGGTTGAAGCTGAGAGAGTTGGATGTAAGAATTCTAACTTTCTCTGTGCTAGCAGAACTTCTGTTAGAAAATCTCTCTCTTACTCATTCCCTCTTGCGTGTACTCATAATCATACAGACGTAGTCCCAAATTTGTCTCTTAGTGTTTCACATAAGGGTAGTATTCTAGATATTCACAACTGTTCTGTTATAAAGTCGGAATTTTTTTAAGGTTCTTATTTTGATGTGCATACTGAAGGTTAATGTTTTGTCATTTTGAACGTGGTTAATGTATTATAAATACATAACACTTGTATGTGAATTCCATCTTATGGTTTTGTGCGTTTTTAGTGAGGATATTAACTATATGTGGATTAGAATATAACCCTTCGATGTTTTAAAAATTGATTACATGGGAATCTTTTGGATTCTATGCTTCTGATCTGATCGATTAACGGAATGTGATTTTTGTAGTTGACCTCCTCAAGAACACAGCAGTAGACAAACTCCCGAGCGATTTGGAAGGAATGGAGCTTACAATGGAAAGGCTAATAGCTCTAATCAACGATGTATACAAATACGTCGACAATGTCGTGGTGAGCATTTGGCAGGTCAGCGAAGTTCTTTCTCGGCATGGACTGATACAGAGTTTTTTGTTGTTTTTTTCAGGAAGGACGAACATCTGCAGATAACAAAATAGGACGATGTATTGCAGATGCGGTAGCTTCCCTTCCGAAATTTCCACCACAGGCCTTTGATAAGCTCGTGAATGACAGCCTTCAGGTAAGATCTGATTTGGAAATTTCCTTTACCGCTATAGTTAATAGTCCGAGAAAGAGCATCGTTAGCATTTTCGGGGGAAACAGCTAACTGAAACTGTCTTCTGGGTTCGATCTGTATCAATTAAAGATCTCATCTTTGGCATTTTCAGAGCGAAACAACTGATTGAAACTGTCTTATGGGTTTTCAGGACCAGTTGTTGTTGTTGTATCTTTCGAGCATAACCAGGACGCAGCTCAGCCTGGCCGAGAAGCTTAACACAGCTGCCCAATTGCTGTAATCTCTCTCTCTCTCTCTTTTGTGCGTACGGAACAGATACATTCGACGAGTCGAATGCAATCTTTGTTACGGTCTGAGTAAAATATTGTTCCATAAAGAATGGCCATTTTATAAAGCAACCATCTTTATGATCACCTATCATGTTTTTTTTGCTCCGTGTGATAAAAATTCATAATTTCAAGATCTTATAGGTATTTAATAAGGTTTAGGCCCTAACTCCACCACAAAAGTTAGCTTAAGAGTAGAGGTTTGACCCTTACTTATATATTGGTCCAAATCTCTTTCATTTTCCAATGCGGGACATTTATCACATTTTCCAATGCGGGACATTTATCAGTATTCCAAAATACGAGAGTGTAAGGTAAGGGGATGATTTTGAGGTGACTTAAGACGACAGAAGCTGATTCGGTTATCCGTTCAACACCTACAAAATCCAAACTCAATTGCGATGGTTTGTCGGGTAGCTAAATCGCACCCTATTACATATATGATCTAAAATTAATTTAGATATCATAATTAGTTCAATAAATAGCGTCTGATGCACATAAAATGAAATTTTTTTCGATTAAATTCACATTTATCGACCTTATCGTCTCACCCACTAAATTTGAATAAACAAATTGGAACAGAATTTTTCTTATTTTATATAATATTATACCGGGACTTCTTTCTGTGTATATAAAAAAAGATTTTCAGATTATTTGTATTTGGGCAGAATATTAGCTTTTCAATTTTCATAATTACTTTCCCCCTCCGTTATATAAAACGGACACATTCATCGATGACTTTGGAAATATCAAAATCGAACTGACGACACCTCTCGTTTTCTTTTCTCGGGCTATCGAATTTCTAAATTCTAGCCATAGAAAATTTGTTTGTTTTGTTAGAAAAATATTTTGTTTGTCATACAAACCACTATGTATGTATGTATGTATGTATGTATGTATGCTGTTTTTTACCACGGTCGAAAATAGAAACATTTCCTCCAGGATTGTATTTCAGTTTTTATTTTAACAAATGGTGAATATATATTTTAATAATGGTATAGATAAGTCTGATAAAAATAAATAAATAAATAAATGATACACGAATGTATAGTTGGAATGAGATCGATAAAAAAAAATAGTCTTGTAAGACTACGTACACACATAATGATATTTTCTCCGCATATATGTTTTAGGGATTTATTGTCCTGGAATACTGGTGATTCTGAGATAAATCTTTTTATAAAGTTTAAATTATTTTTAACTTTTAGTTCTATCTAAACAAATTATTTATGTAATAATATTTATATATTGGTCATCTATATTTTTATTCGAGATATAATTTTAAATCTTAAATTTGTTAAGATACAAACTGACAAAAAATATAATATATAATACAATTTAAAGAAATATATATATATATAGAAGAATATTTTTTTACAAACTGGTCTGTGAAAAATGATATTGATTTTATTTTGAAATATTTATTAATTGAAGAAAAATATAATGTTGTTAAATGAAGGATAAAAGAAACTTATTGATAGAAATATCTATAAAAACTATATTAAAAATGGTAAGTAAAAAATATAAAGGAATAAAATGAAACAATTGATCTTAGGTTATTACCAAGAAATGTGGAAATGATGATCCTGGATTTAAGTATTTACTGTTGCAACGGCAGCAATATTATATGTCTATAGGTTAATATGATTAGATATATTATTTCTAATTAATTTTTTTTATCATTTATAATAAACTATTCTGTAATCTATTACAGAATAAAATAAAGATAATTACGATAAAATGCTGATAAGCTTGTTCTAGATGCAAATATCACCCTGAATTTATTTATTAAAAAAATTTGTTAATTTTGCAAAGAAAATACGATGGATTAAAATAAATGTATGATATATATATATATATATATATATATAACTCAGACAATCGTTAACGTCAAACATAGATGTCACATTACAAAGACAAGCACGAGAACACACGCATGCACAAGTACACTACATAGACATCGAATCGGGACCCGTCATGTATGATATTTTCTACATTAATTACGTCAATTTTAATTATAATATTGATTGAAAAATATGCTCCAACTTTGAATATTGATAGGAGTCATAGGACTATTAAGATATTTACATATATGTAAAATATTACAAAGGATCAGCTTATATATAATTAAATAGGAGATTACCATCCAACTAATCAATCAAAATCAAAATAGATTATTTTTTGTCATTCAATGGTTTAAAATTTTTGTTTTTATTTTTTGAAACCTTCATAGATTGGAGAAATATTTTTAAAATTTTCATGCGTAAATAATCCTAGCATACAAAATACGTTCGATTTCTATATTGTGAATATTTTGTAAAATTTAAAAATAGGTCGCTTGATAAAATTGATTGGTTCAAAATCGTTTTGGCTTTATTCTATAATTTCTAAGATAATAATAAGGACCATAAGAATATACTATCCATATATATATATGGATAGCGTTCAATGCATTTACGGGATATTGTATGGGATTCTTCTGACCTTTGTATAGATAAATCGGATGTAGCAGCCACATTTTATTAGAGAAATATAACTTATATAAGTGTGTGTATATATATATATATAATATCCTATTTTATGTGATATATATCTGTACACTAAAGTTTAAAATTACTCCTTGTATTTAACTTGGACCCTCACATTATACTCACATGGGGTATATATATCTGTCTATATACAGATAATAATTATTGAAATAGATTATTATACATCAATGATTATTTTCCACTTGATTCAATTACCTTTTCCTTTCATCTATATGTCATTGTATCAAAATATAATTATAAGTCAACATTGTAATAGCATGTCACGTAAAATATATTAATAAGCTAGTGAGTGCTCCGTACTGCTACTATGACTGTGATCTTGGATGATGACACGTCATCATCTATTCCCAATCAATTGAGGTTAGTGATTTAAATCAATTCATTAAAAAAGCTAATAAAAATCAATATTAATTTTATAAATACTTTCAACAGAATTAAAAAAAATTAAAATTTTCACCATAAAAAATTAATAATTACTATAATAACTTTTTTAGATCCACCATTACTCGCTCCTTTCAATATTATTAAACCTATCCTCCTTGTATATTCCACAAGGTTTAAGTTTTAGAGAAACCTTTGAAACATTATATTTTTACGGTAAGAATGTCCGAATCTTTAATTCGATAGACAAAATTGCAATGGCCACGGAATATATGATCATCTGTAACGTTTTTTTTCCCGTCGTTATAAGCATTATTTAGTGTAAAAGAATGATTTGTTATTAAACCATTTTCTTTTCGGATCAAAACCGGACTTATATTCAATGTTTTCATGTATAGGAGATTCATGTATAACCACACTAAACGGAAATTGGGCAGTGCTTATAATTAAATTAATTGTAAACATAACATTCGTAAACAAAATTATGTGAATGTATATATAGCTCGGAAATTGGAAATATATGGCAACTAAAAAGGGGGGACGTTAAATTTAAATTAGTTTTTTTTTATAAAGAATTTAAATTAGTTATGTATTAGAAGAAGGAATAAAATGGAAGTTGGGTGGATATATATATATATACACATGTGTGTGTATATACATGTATATGTATGTAATGTGTGTGTGTGTATATGGTTAGTGGATGGATAGGATGAGTAAAAAAATGCCTTGGTTCAAAGTACATTAAGTGAATGGACGTGTATTTGGCTCAAGTACATGAACCCATCCTATACATACATACATATATATATATATATATGAAGATAATATAAATAAATATATATGCTCTGCTATATATTGACAAAGTTGTCAACTTATATAGTGTTGTGATAAATTTATAACAGCCTTCGGAATTATAATGGAATAAGATGCTACGAATATCTTGCATGTGCTTGTGTACGTAGACATCTTGGAATGTTGGTTTATTGGCTGTTTAAGACCCACATAAATAAAAAATATATTTAAAGCTACATATAAATATATTTATATTACATTATATCAGAATAGTGAAGGTTAATAAATGAAACTGGGTAAATTTTCTCAACAAATCTAATTTAAAAAAAAAAGACGTATATGTTACATTAAAAATACGAGAGGGCAACAAAAATTGTACTTTTTGGCACTGTTTTGGCATGCTTATAGACTTAATTTTTTGTGAAAAATAATTATTTGTTAAATTGGATTCGAATTCTTTATTTTAAAACATTTTTAGTATTTTATTTTTTATATTTAATATTGATTCATTATTAATTTTATTTAGATTCAATTTAAATTATATTTTTATTAAAAAATAATTTTTTGTTTTTATTTTCATTCGGTAGTTATGTTTATATTTTGTTTTCAAATTTAATTTGGATTTAGTCTAATTCGATTTTAAAAAAAATTTATCCAATTAGATTCATTTATATATATTTAGATGCTATTTTAGTATGATTTAATTAAAATTTGGATATATAAAAATCAAAATATCGATACCTAATGAAATACCCTTTTTTTCATTTACCAATTCGAGTCCAAAGGAGATTTTTTTAATAATTTTGTTTTAATCTGCTACGATACATTTTGAAATGAAAAAGGAAAGTCTTGGATCACGAATAAACGTGTTATATATATATATATATATATTATAATTACAATTTTGAGGTTGCAAAAAAAAAACACAATTGCAATAATATAAAGAAAAACGTGCTATGAGCCGCACTTGGAGAGAGGTCAACTAAATTTTAGAAAAGAAATAAACTATTACCAATTTAAAGATGATTTAATTCCATTGGCGACCTTCCAATCCATTGGTTGGCCAAATACCTTAATTTTTGGTTTTTAAATAATGCCAGAGAAATATCAAATGGTACAAAGGGTGAAAACTTTTAAAATGCTCTGTAGTTTTATATTCTCAAAATATTTGTTATCTATATTGGAAATTAAAATTGGTTAGAGAGCGTGGATTAAACTATATATATTCAATAACTATAGGGTACAATTGTTTCCGGGGTATTCCATTTGTCTAATTGTCAAATTTTATAGAATAAAAGTTGCATATTACAAATAAAAATGAAATCCTTTATAGTTTGCATCTTTCGTGTGTGTGTGGTTTAAAAAGGTG